CCATGGTCAAAGTCAAAATCCTCAAATTCTGAGTCGCCATCACTGTCGCCATCGAACAAGATCCCTACAGCTTCATCCTAAAGTTTGTCGATGTCGTCACACACAATTTTGATTTTTTAGTCCCCGTTCGAACGAAGTCCGAAAACAGGGACTTATAATTTGGTTTCTGTGCGTCCGTGCGCCCGTCCGGAGTCATATCTCAGAATCCCTTGGACCGATTCTGTTCATTCTTTGCATGTGCCGAGTACTTTATGTGGGACATGTGCACATGCAGTGGTTTAGCGATTCGATTCAAAATGGCCAACTGGCAGCCATCTTGTTTTTTGAAAATGTTGTATTTTGGACATGCTTTGTCAGTTTTCATTCAAATTTAGTACATAGATCATACATGTTAGGATACATGTCCCATCTGTCCGTGAGTTCCTGAGTCTGTCCGTCTGTCCGTGCGTCAGTCTGTCCAACGTCATATTTCAGAATCCTGTGGACCGTTTCCGTTCATTCTTTGCATGTGCCTATTACCTTATGTGGGACATATGCACATGCAGTGGTTTAGCGATTCGATTAAAAATGGCTGACTGGCAGCCATCTTGTTTTATAAAAATGTTGTATTTTGGACATGCTTTGTCAGTTGTCATTTAAACTTGATACATAGATACATGTCCATGGCGATTTATTTTGTAATTGGATCAAAGATGGTTGACTGGCAGGCATCTTGTTTTTGTTTTTTAATGCGGTATCTTGGATGTGCTCTGTCAGTTTTCATTCAAATTTGGCACATGTACTTTATACGTGTTAAGATGCATGTCCATGACAATTTGTTTCAAAATCTGGTCAAGGATGGCCGATTGACAGCCATCTGACTTTTTGGCCTTACTACTATATTTCCACAATTTATGTACCATTTTCATTTGTATTTGGCACATACATCATACATATCAGTGTGTTTCATAATCAGATCAAAGATGGCCGAATAACGGCTGTTTTTATTTTGGCCATATTACTACAACACGAAACGCGTGTTTTGATGTAAATAAACAATCTGTTGTATACGACACTTGGAACTCAAGTTTCAAGGACACGCTCGCGACAACCCTCTGCTTTAATATGACGAGCACAAAGAGAACTTAACGGGGACTGTGTCATTTTCAATGACTTGTAATCCATTGATATTGTTGTCGTTGGACTTTTTTAATTCATGTCTAATAACAATAAAGAGACGAGAAAAATAGGCTCGGGGCAAACGACTCAATGGCGCACGATGATTTTGTTTACAGTTTGTCAATCATCTTTGACCTTTAAGCATCTGCTTCTGATTGGCTAAGAATGACATCACTACTAGTGTTTCATCATAGAGGTCAACATTGCTTTTTAGCTCCGCTGTCGACTTTGTCGAGCGGAGCTTATCATATGAGTGATTGTCCGTCGTCGTCCGTGTCAATGTTTTACTTTTTCGACTTCTTCTTGAAAACTACAAGCCTGAATGCTTTGATACTTTGTGTATATGTACCTTGGGTAGACCTCTATTAGATTTGTTCATTTCATGATGATATCTTCAATTCTCTAATTTTGGTGAATATTTTTGTCATTTTTGGTAAAAAGTGATATTTTTAACTTCTTGTTAAAGTCCAATTGCTTTGGTATTACATATATAGGTACTACATGTGGATCTCTCTCAGATTTGTTCATGTCGTGATGATATCTTCAATTCTCAAAATGTATTGAATATTTTTGTAATTTTTTTTAAAAAGTGATATTTTCGACTTCTTGTTAAAAACCACAGGTCCGATTGCTTTTATATTACATATATAGGATAGGTACAACATGTGGACCTCTTTCAGATTTGTTAATTTCGTGGTGATATCTTCAGTTATCTAATTTTAGTGAATATTTTTGTAATTTTGGATGAAAAGTGACATTTTTGAATTCTTGTTAAAAACATCAAGTCTACATATTGTTCATTTTCTAATGATATCTGCTGTTCTTTAATTGAAATGTGCATTGCTAACAGCGGAGCTATCTCAGTCGACAGGTTGCTTGTTTTTATGTGCAAATTGCAAGTGCTAACTCATGTGTGCCGCCATCTTTCTATCAAATGGCAATTTAATGCGCTATCCTGGCGTCAACCAGGCTCGGTCGAACATAAGCGGACTTTAATCAAGGTTCCCCAAAAGTCGCATTCGTTGCTGAATGAATCTCGGCCAGTGGAATTGGCCTTTCCATTGTGTCTGTGACACACTCACCCAAGGTGGGGTGGACCCTTTTGATGTTCAGCCTAAATAGGATTTGAACTTGGGATCACGAGTCTGATACGACAACCATTGTGCTACCAGTGACAGGTTGCCTTTAAGATATGGTGTAAACTAAACTAAGACACGTGTTTGTTGATTTCTATCTACCAGCCGATGTTATACCTATTATTTTAATATTACTTGCATAAATATTCACGTGTTTACAACAGATTAATGGTAAATTGTACAACGGAACGGAAGCAGTAACTGGTCACAAGTTTGGTTCGGTTGTTCCAGATGGTGGCACACTTCTCCTGAATATACCTCGTCTAAAACTTGCTGCTACATGGAACGGGAAGCCTCATAAAATCACAATAAATTTAGGAGATAGTGATATGCATGGAAAGGTATGTGGATTGCTTGGCAATTCTGATGGGAATCCAGATAACGATTTCATCAAACCAGATGGCACTATGGCGTCTGATGCCAAGGAGTTTGGAGATAGCTGGGCTGTACCTGGCAGGTGGGTAATTTGGTGGTTATTTTGCACGTTTTAGGTACAAATGTTATGGGATGCTTAAAATTGGTTAGAAACCATTACAGTAGTTTAGGAATTATGCTGTATATATTCCTCATGTGTAAGATTCAAACACTCGTTCAGGTGGTTACACCATGATGTTATAAGGAATATTTTCGGTAGTTGATATGACGTGAGCGAAACAACGGCATCATTATGTGCATTATTCAAAACGTATTATTTTGAATATATATTAAACATATTATATATTGAATATCAAAAATAAATTGGCCAAAACTAGTATTATTATAATCAAATATAAACGTCGAACAACAAACATAATTTATATTTTTTATTTGATTATTTCAAAGCTAAAACAAATCCATAGACCTAAGTGCTTAAAATTACAGAAACCACATTTCTGTAATGTTCTCCACTCACTGTGTACGTATCATTGAAAATTAAAGGTGACTTCGCTTTTTCATCCTACGAAACACTTTTCTAGGCATATTTATTAAATATCGTGCCCAGACATGGTAACAGTGTCTGGAAAATATTATCAACGAATATCACCTTTGGTATTTTTATCGATCTCAAAAAAGCCTTTGACACCATTAATCATGAAATACTGTGCTGCAAACTAGAACACTATGGTATTAGAGGTCTTCCTCTATTATGGTTTAAAAACTACTTTTGTAATCGCCAACAATTTGTATGTATTGAAAACACTTCATCTTTGCCACGACCTATTACCTGCGGGGTTCCGCAAGGGTCGATTCTAGGCCCAATCATATTTTTAATATATATTAATGATATAGC